AGCTCTTTCCTGATTGAAGAAATAAGCCATGTTGCAACCGTCCCCACTCTCCCCTGTAAGCTATTCAATGTGCAAGGATAGTATTCGAGTATACTTTCAATGGATGGTTGCTCCACCATCTATTCATTAAATCAATATATTTCAGAAAAAAATGAAACCATGAATTAAATGCTTAGATAACGCTAAGAATTTAGCACAGGTGTTTTAATCTAGATTTCTCTTTACCTCATTGAACCAGGTAAAAATTTGACCTTGAAGACAACAATCACCTCAGCACATGATTTTCTAACCGTTAAATTGAATTTCAAGCACGTTTTACATAGAGATGTAGACCTCTGAGTGATTAAAAGTGCATTAAATAAGTGACAGGAAAATCCTATTTTGATAAGTATGGTCTGAAAAATATGAAACCACTTAGCAACGCCCAATCAACTATTCAGAGCACACCAACAACCACTAAGAGCACTAAAAGCCCGTTCATACCAAGAATAACACCTATAGGTGTCCACACCAACGCACAATAATGTTCTGTTCATTCTAGTCTGTGCTGCAGTTTTGTCTTCTGCCACTTTAAATGTGCAAGCTCTTTTTTTTCTTAAACCATTTATGCAAACAGCATAAAATTTACTTTACACTAAGTACAAAAAAAGTTACACCCAGGACCTAAATGACAAAAATATTAGTTTCATTTAAGCATAAAATCATGCATTCTTTGTTAATATGCTTTCATTCTGTTGGCAAAACTGAAACCTGATATCACCATTTTATAGGTTTGGCCCAGGGATGGGCAACTTTGATAGTGACGAGGGCCAGCATTTTTTCTCCTTTATACCAAGGGGCCAGATTACTAATCCACGTCCACACACCTTTCACACCGTCTTACTCAATTTCCTTTTTATTGAAGGAAATTAAAGTATAACTAATATTACCCTGACTAGCCAATGTAAACATTTCAATTGCATTGTCTATAAATTTGCAACAAACAAATATACAGAGGTCCTTTTTTTTTATTAGTAGCCTACAGAACATTCTCAAAACAACCTAAAAGGACAGTTAAAAAGGGCTTAATTAAAAAAAAAATTATTTATTCGAAATGGTACCATAAAATAACCTGGTATCTGCAGGATTTTTAAAATCAAATTTAAGACCTTTAAAGACCTTTTTAAGATCTACACTTCACATTTCAGCCTTTAAACAGTTTTTAAGAAAAGGGATGAGTCAAAAGTATCAATTATTATATTCATTTAAACAATTATTATCAATTAATTATTATATTTAATAACATATAAATATATCTTAGTGTCTTAATCGTTTCGATTTTTATAATGCATTAGCTTTTTGTCGATCCACTGGTTCACATTTAAAAATATGTAGCAAAAATAGCAGATGGGCTTATTGAAAAAGCAA